GAGAGAGAGGGAGAGAGAGGGAGAGAGAGAGAGAGAGGGAGGGAGGGAGGGAGAGCGATCGCCCTGCGCACCCCTGCTGTGTGCTCACGTCCAGCTGAACCCATGAGCACGTGGAAAGCGTCCCTGGGGGTCAGGGAGGCACAGCTGCCCCCCGTCTGTCAGGGTCCCACCCAGTGGGGGCCTGCTCTCACTGACCTGGGTCACGGTGTCCAGCCCCAGTGGGGACTGCTCTCACTGACCTGGATCACGGTGTCCAGCCCCAGTGGGGGCCTGCTCTCACTGACCTGGATCACGGTGTCCAGCCCCAGTGGGGACTGCTCTCACTGACCTGGATCACGGTGTCCAGCCCCAGTGGGGCCTGCTCAGCGGGGTCCCCACGGCCAGGCTCGCTGGAGGAGGAACTCATGGCCGTCCAGAGTGCAGGACCTCAGAGAAAGGCGGGGGCCGGCTCCCTGTGAGACTCCCAGGGCTCACAGCACCCTGCAGCGCCCTGCAGCGCCCTGCAGCGCCGAGCTCTCTGAGCCCGGAGCCCGCTGCCCAGCCTGGGTGAGACCACAGACCCACCAAGCCATGGGTGTGGCCGTGGCAGCAGGACGCGAGGGCTGGGTTTCCCTGGAAACAGGAGCGACTCGTGGTTGTCGTGGGGATCAGGGGAGCTGTTGGTGGAGGTGTTTCCTGGAGACCTGGCGTGAAGCTGTCCTCCTGAGCAACACACCAGGAGGCTGGCCTCTGCCCAGACCTCCCGGTCACTCCAGGAGGAGGCTGTGCAGGCCAGCTCCCAGACCACGTCCGTCATCTAGACTCACCCGCTGCAGCCGTGAGGACGTGTGGAAGGCCGCTGACCCGCAGTGCCGGGGCCATCTCCGTGGCGGGCTGAGGCCTGAGCAGGGGAAGCCGCCCACGCAGCGGGCAGGCCCTGTCTTCCCAGCCCTGTGCCTGGACGAGCCCCTGCAGAGTCCCCCCACCCCCTGAGCCCTGCCAGGGTGACCCGTCCCCTGCACAACAGCTGACCCTGGTGGGGGAGATCCCTTTCCTCTCTGCTCACCCACGTCCTGCAGGGCTGCCAGGGAGTGGGCCCGGCCGGGGTGTGGCACAAGGTCTGTGGGGGGTGCGTCTGATGCCAGGGCAGGGCAGCGCCTCGGGGGGAGCACAGGAGGAAGGTGTGGCCCTGCTGCCCCCTGCGGTGTCCTTGCAGACCACCTTGTGCCAGCCTGGGCCGCAGGATTGGGCCTGGCCCTGCGGGCAGGGGCCGGCATCCCACCAAGCTGGGGCCTCCCTGAGCCAGGCTGCTGCTGCAGGAGCCCTCCTGGGAGTGGGCAGCCCCTGGAAGCAGGCCCTGCATCAGCAGTGGCCATACCTTTTGAGAGAGCGGCCGGCCTGTGCAGGGACTCTGGAGGGGGGCCTCCCTGTCCAGAGACCTGAGTTCTTGGAGCCAACCCGTCAGAGTGGGAGAGGGCCTGCAGGCCAGGCCAGGCGGGACCAGGTGGTGGTGGTGGTGGCACTGAGTGGGCGGGATCTGCCGAGGAGGGCCTGACATGGCCAGGCCACTTCCTTAGACCCCAGATTTAGGCAGAACACAGGGAATGCCTGGGTTCCTCCTGGTGTCCCCAGAGCTCCTGCCCACCTCACCCTGAAAGGCCACAGTGCTCCGTGAAGGGCAGGTGGGGCTTCTGGCCAGATACACCCCCTAGGCATGGGGGCCAAGGTTCCTGGGACCGTCTCTGGGAGTCCTGGCTGGTCCCCCTAGCCCCAGTGCCTCTGGGCCAGCAGCGCTCCAGGATCAGACACTAGCAGACCCACACATGGCTGGGCACCTCCCTGGGCAGCTTGCCCTGGCACTCCTGAAGTCCTGGGGGCCCTGTGGACATGGGGGTCAGGCCTCTGTGGGGAGCAGAATAGAGGACTCTGGCTGCCAGTGTGGCACTGGGTGACCCACAAGTGGTCAGTGAACTGCAGCTGCTCAAAGTGGAGTGGCCTGTGATCTGTCGTCCTCAGTCCCTGTGCTGCATGGAAAGTCACCGCGTGTGCTGACCGCACACCTCGCTCGGGACCTCCCCTCCTGCCTGCGGCTGACCACCCGCAGGCTGCCCGAGGGGCTCTGCTCAGAGAAAGACCCTCCGCAGACAGGCTGACCCACGGTTCTGAGAGTGCTGGGACTCTGGGGACACAGGGACACAGTGGCTTGTGTTGGGCATGTGAAGATGACTGGGGCTGGCACAGACATGCTGATGGCCGGGAGTCAGCCCTGGCACCAGGTGGCATCCTGGCTGTGCTGAGCTGGTGCCCACACCTGGATCCAGAACAGGGCTATGTGTGGTCCAGCTCTGGCCCAGCACCTGCAGGGGACACATTTGGACAGAGCCCTCAGAGGCCATGACCAGGTCAGCTGAGCTTCACGGCCTTGGGGAGCCACTCCTCATGGACAATTGCTGCCGCCCCACGGTGAGCAGGCGGCTCAGAAGTCCAGGCCACTCTCCAGGGCACAGAGTGACTAGGCCAGCAGAGCCGGCGACAGGAAGCTAGTCAGATTCCAGAGTGATTACGGCTGGACGGGCAGTCCTGGAGGCTGTGAGGCTGAGAGAGAGGCCGCTGCACCTCCTCCGGCCTCCTCCCTCTTCCCAAGAGTTGCCCCCAAGGTGAACCGTGCTCAGAAGACACGTCAGCCTCTTGGTCCCTGCGCACGCGGGCTGAGTGGCACGGCCTCATTCCCAGCTGTTGACTGAGGAGGAGAGGCCGTTGGAGCGCCCGGGTGGGGCTGGAGCCTCCACGTGAGAAGCACAGGGCATTTCACGGGACTCCCAAGATCACGTCCCTCTCCAGAGGCTTGGGGTCAGGAGTGGTGTATGATGGTGTCCCCACAACCGGCAGACGATGTGCAGAGGACAGGCCCGCTGGGCACGGGGGCTGTGTTTGGGGGTCTGGCCTGGCGCAGGTCCCGAGAGGTCTCCTGGGTGGAAGAGAGGACCTTGCCCCTCCCACCCGACACTGACCCGTCGGAAGGGCAAATGCTGCCCTTGTGGGCCCTGGGGACAGTCCTGGGGCAGGACTTCTGAGAAGGCTCAGGCTCCTGTTCTCAGGAGAAGTGCAAAGGGGCAGAGGGCTGCCTGGGGCAGAAGGTTGTGCCCCCAGGACCTGGGTGTGAGAGCTAAAGCTCCTGAAGGAAAACAGGCGGGAAGAGCCTCACCACCCTGGGTGTGCCACAGTGTTTTAGATAGGATACTAAAGGTGCAGACAGTGGAAGAAAAAATAGATAAATTGAGCTTTATTGAAATTATAAGTTTTGATACCTCCAAGGACAGTATCCAGAAAGTGAAAAGACAGAAGGCTGTGTGAGAAAATATTTTCAAATGATTTATCTGTTCTAGGTAGGATTAAGATCCAGAATATATAAAGAATTCCTACAACTCAACAACAATAAAACAACCCAGTTAAATGTGCAAAGACCGTGCTACACATATCTCCAAAGAAAATGCACAAAAAGCCAGTAGGACCATGAAAATATCTTGATATCGGTAGTCACTCAGGAAATAAAGACCACCACACTGTGGCGAGAGGTGCAGCAGCCCAGAGAGCTCACACACCAGCTCCAAGACCACCAGGTTGGTTCCCCAGGCAAGTGGGGTGTGGGGGGGTGCAGGGTCGGCACCTCTGACACCCGGCTCACTCTGTGGACTCTGTTCGGCTGCAGTGTCCCCTCCCACCAGGCACACTGGAAATTCCCGAGCTACAGGACGCTGCTGTCCCTGCACTGCACTGAGGTGGAGTCAACACCAACGTGTGCGTTCTGGGCCCTCAAGGCCCGGAGGGACCCTGTCGGCTCTGCCTGAGATGCTGACCCCCATCTCACCATCCCTGACCCGCTGCCCGCCCTGGGGTCTGCAGGTGGTTGGCTGGGGTCCTGCTGCAGGCCTCTGAAGAACCTTAGTGGCCAAAGGCTTCCCGGCCAATGAGGGCAGGTGCTGCGTCCCTGGCCAGCCCTTGTCCTCCTCTCTCTGCCAATGCCCCGGTGTGTCCCTGCAAGGCCATGCAGAGCCCGGGTCCAGCTTTCCAGGCCTTCCCTATCCGTCATCTCCCAGTGTTGTGCACTCTGAGCATAGGCAAGTGCCCAGCTGCAGGACACACCAAGGAGGCCAGCTAGCCCCATCAGAGGGCCTGGCCCTCACGGCTCTGATGTGAGCCGAGGTCTCGGGAGGACAGAGTCCACCAGGACACTGGAGAGGAGTTGGTGTGTGAGCTCCCTGGGTTGCAGTGCCCGATGGCCACGGCTCACCCGTGGCAGGGGATGAGCTAGGCCCTGCTCTTGATAGGTCTCAGAGCCCTGGGTGATTTGGATGGACTGGGGCAGCCGGAGACGGCCCTGAGCCGGCCTAGAGAGCTGGAGACGTCGGTGAAACCCAGACGTGTAAGTTCAGAATCTGACATGAGCTGCCCTGGCCTGCAGCCGAGGCCGAGAGTCAGGACAGGGTCACCCAGGCCTGCTGGACCCCAGTGCTCTGCAGGAGGGCCCAGGCCAGAGTCCTGTGGAATCATGGACCGTGGGCACAGCAGTGTTTGGGGGCCCTAGGGCCTGAGCAGCCACCTGGGGGTGGGGTAGATGTGCTCTGGGCAGCTCAGTGGACAGGAGGGGCCAGGCTGGAGGAAGGAGGGACCTTTCTTGCTTATGGAGGTGTGGCAGCGGGCACCTGCTCATGGGGCTGCAGCCCTCAAGGTGTTCCAAGTGCCAGGAAGGGAGTGGCTGTCCCTGCCCCCAGCCGTCCTCAGGTCTGACCTGGGGCCACTGCCGGGGGTGGTGTCCCGAGTGCTTGTGTGGGGCTGTCTCCATGTTACTGTTGCAGATGTCCCAGCTGCTGAGCAGCCTTTGCACACGGCCAGCTGGGGACCAAGGGTGGCGGGGGTGGCCCTGCCGGCGGGTCCAAACTTGCCCAGCTCTGTGCAGGGAGGAGGCGGGCAGGTGCTGGGCAGGTGTGGGGGTGGAGGGAGGCTCTCCAGGCAGAGGCGGAGCTCCGAGCAGGCTGCGTCCCCCAGCACCAGGCAGCTCGGCTCCCAGTCCAGGTGGGTGCTGGTCCCCCGAGGAAGGCTGGGCTGCTGGCCTCTGGGCCCCAGGATCCCAAGCTGGTGGCCGATGGCAGAGGGATATGCAGAGTCACACCTGGGCGGCTGAGTTTGAGCAGGGCACAGGTGTTAGGGGACCGTGCAGAGACACTGCCCGGGTGGGCTGAGGCCCTGTTCATCTGGATCCTGATGCTGCCTGTGTCCCTTCCAGCCTGGCAGAGAGGTGGGGGCAGGGAAGGCCTGATGTGTGTACCGGGCCACCTGGCGCTGGACGGGGAAACAGACCTCAGGAACGCAGCCCCCTCCCGGGGACATGCAGCCTGACCCTGACGTGATGGGCTGCTCTGGCCTGAGATTGGGGTTAGTCTGGAGGGAGGGGCGGGGAGGGGAGTCGTGAGAGGCCCAGCCTCCCTCCCTGGGCGGCCCGGTGACATTCCTGGGAGCTGGGGACTGACTCACTTCAAAGCCTTGGCTTCTGCTCAGCTATTTCACCCTCCGCTCTGCCTGTCACCGCGCTCCTGCTGAGCTGAGCCCCACCTGCAGAACTTCTCCTCACCTGGCAGCGGCTATCTCCTCCCAGCCATCTACACCGGCCTGCAGACAGGTCCCCAGGGGCCACCCTCACCTGCTGCTGCTGCAGAGACAGCTGTCCCCAGCCATGGCCGCGCAGGTGTCCCTGTGGCACCACTACCTGCATGCCATCCGCTCACGGGAAGCTCCCCGCGCCCAGGACTACCAGCGTGCGGAGAACGCGCTGCTCGCGGTGCTGGAGCGGGTGCATGCCCTGGACCCCCGCTTCCTGGTAGACTACTCCCGAGACCTGCAGGCCTTCCAGTTCTCCCTGCGCTCCTCGGAGGACCCGCTGGACATGGAGGTGCCCCTGCAAGTGAACACCGAGGCCCTCTTGATTGAGGAGCTGGGGGCCCCGGAGCCGGGGGACGGCCCTGCCCTCTGCCGCCTGGGCGTCCCCAGGGAAGCAGTGGGCCTGGCGCAGTGGAGGACGGAGGACGTCTTCAGCACTTCTGAGGACGAGGGCAAGGCAGAGTGCTGTGGCCACATCGAGCCTGGCAAGGTCCTGCGTGTCCTCAAGGACCTGCTGGTGGCTGCCATTGTGCACTGCAGGCACCACAGCCTCATCCCGCCAGGTACGGCAGCCCCCGCGTGTTGTGAGCATGGGCGTGCACGTGGTGTGCTCTCGAGGTGTGCCTGCCCACCGTGTGCACAGTGTGTGCACATGTGTGTGGTCCTACGTCCAGGTGCACAAGGCGGCCACCGTCCCTCAGGGATCACAGGCACACACACATGCACGTGTGGTCCCCATGATTGTCACCACTCGGTGGCCCTTCTGGCCCTGAGCCCCTCTACACAGCCTTCTGCCTTCCCCGTGACCCGGCTCTGGAGTGGTCTGGACCCGGGTTCCGTGGCAGTGCCTGTGAATGCCTGGAACCTCATGCCCGGCAGGTGCCACCAGGGTCCCAGCATTCTGGGCTGTGGCTGCGGCCTATGGCGATGAGGACCGTCCGCTCTCCAGCCTCTGCTCACAGGCTGTGTGTGTGTGCTGTGGGTGTGCAGGATGTGAAGTGCGTGCACATCTGTGTATGTGCTTGTGCACACGTGAAACACATGGGTGCACACGGGCACACAGGTGCCTAGGTCTGTTTCCACTCAGGGCCGAGTGGCTAACTCATGTCTTGGGACACAGCAGGCTGGAGGCTGGTGCTCTCAAAGGCACAAGGGGCCTGGCCTCAGGCCCCACTGGGGGCTCTGCTGTGGGCGGGGAGCAGGGCTCCCGCAGGCCTGGGCAGTGGGTTTCCATCAGCCGGGGGTGGGGGGAGGACGTGGCCCCTGAGGGACGGGGCCCGTCATGCTGGGTCAGAGCCAGGACATCAGGCTGTCCTGGCAGGGCACTGGGGACTGAGACAGAATGTCCTGCTTTTTGGGGGGAGGGACAGTAGTGGTTGCCACCTCCCATGGATTTGCTGTCCAGTTACCTCCCTGGTCTTCTGTCCTCACACTGTGAGGTCAGTGAGTGGGGTGGTCAACCCACCCCACAGGGCCCATCCAGGCTGCCCAGCCTGTGGAGACCTGGTCTGGCCACACTTCTGGGTCCTTGGCCACTGGGCTACCAGGACCCCCTTCCTCTGGGCTTCCTGCAGGTCCTAGGGAAGCCGTCCAGCACAGCCAGGCTTCAAGCTGGGCCACAGGACCAACGAGCATCAAGAGGGAAGTTTCCAGGGGCAGCTGTACCCCAGACTGCCTAGTGGGTGTTCCAAGGCAAGGGACTGACCTCTGGGGTGACCAGAGTCTATGATAAGGTGTCTGGCCTGCTGCTGCCCCTCTGCCTCCCGGAGCCTTCTCTTACTACAGGCAGAAGTAGTGAGGTGGGGCTCTTTCCATCTTCCGTCCACACGGGGTTCCCAGATGGTCAGGTCACCTGCAGGCCCAGTGCCCCCTGGGGGACAGCTCCCTGTTGGGTGAACGGGGCCATACCAGGGTGATCTAGCTTCGGGCCCCTCCTCACAGGCGGGTCACCCCTGCCGAGAGTACAGCCATCCCTGCTGCGGTGGGCTGGGCGGGGTGCAGGGGACAGCCAGGCATTGCTTCCTGTACCTTCCTTAAAAGGAAGGCCCACGGCCAGGTGGCAGAGTTCAGCCACCCCGACCCTGGAACCGGTGGGACCAGCCAGGGCTGTGTGGCCCATGGAGTGCAGGTGTGGCTGGCTGCCCTCCAAGCTGCCGTTTCACAGGCACAACGTGTGACTAAGGCATGACAAGAAGGCAGAGCTGCCCGAGGTGGCCCGCACGGGACGGAGTGGCCCAGCAAGTGCTCAGGGGCAGCGGGCAGGGAGGTGCTGAGGGTCCACAGGGGGCTAGGCTCTTCCTAGGGTGGGGTGGGAGCTGCCCACTCACACAGGCCTTTCTCCAAGGATCTCGTCCGGGATTCCCTGTGGCACTAGCCTGGCTCCCAGCAGGTCTGTCATCCTGGCCCCTGACCCAGGCCCTCTTGCTGGACAGTGCTGCGGAGGGGAAGGCAGACTGCCCAGCCCGGCCTGTGTTGGTCAGAGCCAGTGGTGCCCATGCCCTCTACCCCGGGATGCGCTCCCTCACTTTCTCTGCTTCGCTTTGGAGGGAGAAGGAGCAACTCAGGCCTAGCTGTCCCTTCCTCACTGCCTCCAGCAAAGGACTGGACTGTCACGTCCATCTGTCCTCCCTGGCCACAGGCTACATAGAAGGACGAACTGACCCCAGGCAATGCTGGTGGCCTGGCAGCTGGGGCTGACCTCTGCAGAATTTTCAGGCTCAGAGTGGTGCAAAGTCCAGGAGGAGTGCAGGGCCCAAGAGTGCCCACAGCTTTTCCTGAAGACTGTTGGGGCCCTGGGTCTATCTGGTAGCACAGACCAGTCCTCAGAGGGGGTGTCATGGCCACTAGCAAAGGGCTGCGGGCTCTGAGCTGCCCAGGGCCTGCACAGGGCCAGGGGGCTCAAGGGAGGTCCTGCAGCACTGCAGTGCAGAGCCCAGCTTCCAGCCTGCAGGGCGGGGGCCGTGCCGGGTCCACCCCTGCTCCTGGGACTGAGTGTGCTCTGAGGTGGGCCCTGGTCACAGGCCCGGGGCACAGCCCACAGGTCTGGGAGGGTGGTGGGCAGATTTGAGCCACCAGCTGAGGGAGGTGCCCGGCAAGGCAGAGCCTGCAGTGGAGCTGCAGCACCACCGGCCCGAGAGTCACCAGGCCAGCCGTGGCCGCACTGTGGTCTCGCGGTGCAGGTGCGGCTAGCTTCATACTGGGCCATGGTTCCTGCATGGACAGAGGCGTCCAGGGTGGAGTGTCCTAGCTGGAGGCGGGGCTAGGCCCGGGAGAGGGCAGCTGGCCCACAGTGGGTTATTGCAGGTTCGCTGAACGCGGCCAGTCTGAGTGAGGAGCAGCTGCACCTGTCTCTGCTGGTGTCCAGCGGCTGGAGGAAGATCCGCTTTAACCTCGTGCCTGTGGTGAGGAGGAAGCAAGGCGCGCCCACCCTGGAGAGGGTCCGGTTGATGCCCGGATTCCCTGAGGGCACCTTGAGAAGGATCCTGGGCCATGGGGTGGACCTGATGCCCGCCAGCCCCCAGCACTGGAGGTGGGTGCCCTTGCTGGGTCTCTGAGTCTTGGAGAGCAGGCAGGAGGGGTCTGCACCCTGGGCAGGAGTGTCTGTGGGCCCTGCCTCACCCTGCGTGACCCTGCCCAGGGGTTTTCGCCTTCACACTGAGGCTCCTGGGTGTTGGGGACACTCAGGACCCAGCGGGGCTCTCCCGGAGCAGGAGGCCCATGGCCACATGAGGAGGTGCAGCTATGTCCCCTCCCAGGTGGGGGGTGGCCAGCCGAGTCTGCTGTGGTGAGAGACCTGTGTGTAGGAGGCTGTGTGGGATGGGCCCTCCATGAGAGGCTGCTGCGGGTCCCCACGTCACAGGCCAGCAGGGTCCTGTCACCCTGGCGGTGGGCCTTGCTGGCACCTTCCCTCTGGGCTGCATTCCAGGTGGCTCCCGCCCAGGTGTTCAGCTCTAGGTGCCCCTGCCCCACGGGCCCAACCTCCACCAGCCCCTCCTGGGGTCCTCCCGTCTCTGTCCCCAGGAGCCTTTGAGTCGTGTCCGTGAGAGGGCAAGGGGGCAGAGGCTGAGACCTCTGAGGCCCTAACAAAGGGCCAGAAACCAAGTTCCATCCCCTCTGACTGGCCCCCGCCTGCAGGAGGTGTGATTTGGCCAGGGTGACGGCTCACATGACCGCAGGGGACATGTCTTACAGCCATCGCAAGGGACAGTTGCAGAACTCTTGTGCTCTCCTGGGCGGTTCGGCAGGGCTCCTGTGGGCACCCCACTCTCTGTCCCTCGTGCAGAGCAGGGCTGTGGCCAGGGTTCCTGAGTGACCCCTGGCCCAGGGAGGTGAAGCCGGGGCTAAACAGAGTCATCTCTGGGTATACGGAGAAAGGCCGTCCAGGTCCTAGTCCCCAGAGCCTCTGCTGCGGCAGGGACCCCTGAGGATGGAGACTCCAGAGTGGAGGTCCGGCCCCTCGGTCGGGTCAGCGAGCACACAGTGAGCGCCCTGGGCTAGGATGCCCTGTACCGCGAACACTGAGGTGGGGGTCCTGGCCCACTGCTGTCCGCTGCCTGCCTGTGCGGGTGGGCTCAGGCTTCCTGAGTGGACCCCCGGGGGTGCTGGCCTGCCCCCAGGCCAGGAGTCCACTGTCACCCGTGCCCAGGGAGCAGGAGCTGCTGCCCTATCTAGGCAGGTCTGAGACACTGTCCTGTCCCTCAAGGGGCCAGGAAGCTGGCCCACAGACACCCACGTCACTCCTTACCCTGGCAGAGGAGTGCACGAAGATGGGTGTCCACCATAAATGGCCCCTGGGTCAGTTCCTGAGAAAAGTGAGGGGCCAGCTAGGTCCCCATAGAACAGGCTGAAGCCCAGCTTGGCCACCGGCCGACTTAGGAGCCTCCAGCGTGGGCAGCCACAGAAGCCGGGCCGCTTCTTTCTGGTGATAAACTGAGAATCTGGAGCAGAGGGCAGACCCGGCCTGACAGGGTGGTCTGGGCTTCCAGGGCCTCCACTGGCTACCCCCTCACCCAGCTGCTCAGCGGCCTGGGCTCCCTCCAGGGCCACCGCCTGGACAGCCTCTGCATCCTGGACCGGGTGAACCACGAGAGCTGGAAGGACGGTGGCCAGAGCCCTGGCCTGACCTTTGACCACCTGAAGGTAGGCCAGCCTGAGTCTTGACCAGGGAGCCAGGGGCAGGGCACCAGGTATCCCTTGTGCCAGCTCCCACTGGTGGGCAGCCTGGGGTGGGCTCCGTGTCCGGAGGACTCCGGTTCTGGGGACGAGGCCTGGTCTCCCGTGAGGCCAGCTGTGCCATTCTTGGGCTGTGGGGTCTCGGGGTCTCTGCCAGGGCAGCGCCCCCGGGTGTGTTGCAGGGATGAGGGACTCAGGTGTTCAGGGAGGTCTTGACCTGTCCTCAGACCATGGCTCTGTCGAGGGTCTCCCCTGTGACCTCAGGCCACTCTGCCCTCTCAGGCCTCTGCCTAAGGCTGGGGGGACAACGACTGTTGATTCCCAGACTGAGCTGAGCGGTCATGGGGCTGGTGGAAGGAGAGGGGCCTGAGGGCACAGCAATTCAGCTGAGCGACGGGCAGGGCCCAGGCAGGAGGGACACTGCTCCATGCTGCACAGGGGGGCCCTCCGGGTTGGGCTGGGGGGCATGCACGGGGACTCGGGGAGGGACCTTAGGGGAGCCCAGGGGGAAGAGGAGTCCAGGAGGGGCCTGGGGGTGGAGGAGCAGAGAGTGGGTGGGGTCCCAGAGCCCTCGGAGCAGCAGGTGGTGGCTGTGTGACAGATGGCGCTGCTGTGGGCCTCCGTGCTCTTCCCGGCGCCCGAGGACTGGGCGGAGCTGCAGGGGGCCGTGTACCGGGTCCTGGTGGTGCTGCTCTGCTGCCTGGCCACGAGGAACCTGCCACACCCCCTGTGCCCCGGGCACAACCTGCTGCATGGCTGCGGCCTGGACCTCAGCGCCGTCTACCAGCGTGTGGAGCGCTTCGCCAGCCAGCCAGAGATGTCCCTGCGCATCCACGCCACCCACCTGGGCCGCATCCCCCCGCCACGCATCGACAACGGGGTCAAGGCGCTCCTACAGCTGCCTGCCAGTGACCCCGCCTACTGGACCACGGCCTACTTTGACGTCCTGCTGGATAAGGTGGGCACAGCTGGCTGGACCTCAGCCAGCCCAGAGTCGCGTGAGGGTGGGGACAGAGCCTGGTCCAGCACCCTGGCTACACCCCTAGGTCAGGAGCCAAGGGTGATTGGGTGAGGTCAGGCCTCTGGGCAGAGGTGGAGGCCTATGTGAGTGCTGGGGGTCCGTGTCCATGGAGCGTCCCCTCAGCAGTGCCCTAGCCCAGGCCCCTCCCTGAGAAGCAGGGCAGCACTTCTAAGACTGCCCCATTGCCCAGGAGTAGCCACTGCTCAGAGGCCCTGCCTGTTCTCCTGAGTGTGGCCTTCCCTGTTGGGGGCCGGACTTCACCAGCTGCCCCCCACCCACAGAGCCCAGTCCCATCCCCTGCACAGGCCAGCCCTTCACATCACCCCAAGAGGAATATCACCCTCTTCCAGGACACGTGGGCCTCCTGGCTCCCCGGCCCACCTCCTGTGGCCAGGGGAGGACCTCAGTGCAGCCTCTGGGATGACAGTGGGGTGGGTTGGTGACCAGAAGCCTTCAGCCAGCACCTAGTGGTGGATGCCTACGTGTGGGGAGGAGGGCTGCGGGCTGGCTCACGGGGTGAGGGAGGAGCCCAGGACAGGGCGAGCTGTGTTCTGGGCCCCGTGAGGCCCAGATTCCCCGTGACCCTCTCTCCCTGCCCATCTGCAGTTCCAGGTCTTCAACATCCAGGATAAGGACCGCATCTCGGCCATGCAGGGCATCTTCCGGAAGACCAAGACCCTGGGCACTGAGCAGAGCTGAGCTGGGCCCCAGGCTCTGCCACCCCCGGAGGCTCCTGGGACGTGTGGAGAGGCTGGACTTCCCTTGGGGAGGGTGGTGGAGGGACTCTGCTCCCGGGAGTCCTCAGTCTGTCCAGGGGGCGGCTGTGATAGTCAGTGCCGGGCAGCACTGTGTCCCCCAGGCCAGGGGCCTAGGATGCAGCTGCCCCAGGTGGCACCACCAGGAAGACCCAGTGTCTGCATGGGGACGTGTGGTGGCTCCTCCGTGCCTGAGTGCAGGCGGCCCTTGGTGGTGAGCACTGTGCCTGCTCCCACGGCCACCCCGCACAGGAGCCCCACTTTCTGTATCTAGTGGAAATACAGAGGCCTGGAGGCAGAGGGGGCTTGTGTGCCGACGATTTCAGACCTCTCCGTTCTCTGCGCGTGGCCTTCCCTCAGGGTCCCCTCCTGCAGTTCACCGGGGCCCCCACCCCCGCTGCAGCATGTCCACTTGCCCCCTACTGCCCCAGCTGCCTGCCCCTCCCTGGGGAAGGCCCCTCTGCCACATTTCTCTTTCCCTGCTGGCTGCCCAGCCCACAGCCCTGTCAGCCCGCTGCCACCTGCCTGCAGTCCGTGGCCTCCCTGTCCCCAGCCCAGGGGACATTTTCTACCATGCATCCTCTGCAGCTGCTGGGTGGCATTTGCAGCCGCCCCAGGACTCTGGATGGGAAGAGCCTCCTCCCGGGCCCAGAGCCTGGTGAGCGGAGTAGCCACGCGGTGGCAGCCAGAGCCAGGGCCTCGAGCGCTGCAGGGCAGGGAGGATCCTGTGTCCTGAGGACAGGGCATCTGGGACCTTGCCCACCCACCACAGGGAGCAAGACGGTGCTCAGGGGCCTCGGGGAACGGCAGAGGCTGCAGGCGCCGGCTCAGGAACGTCTTGGGTGACGGGAGGCGTCAGCTGCATGGGGCCACAGCACAGTGGGCTCCCTCCCACCCCAGAGCCCAGGGGGTCCTCGGGAATGGTGCCAGGTGGCATCTGGCAAACCCCGGCGAGGGAGCTGAGGCTGGAGCCAGGGCCTTAGCAGGTGTTGGCCTCATAGGGAACTGGCCCTGGCCAGGTGGTGCCGAGCAGCCCTCTGGTCTGAGCTGCCCCTCATGCCATGGGGTCCTGCGTTTGGGGTGGCCGTGGTACAGGCAGCGATCCATGGGACAATGGTCATGGTCCTTCCAGGATCAGGCTAAGAGGGTGGTGGGCACAGTTCCGGGCAAGCCCAGTGGGCTGGACCAACCTGCTATGGCCTCTGAGGACCCAGGCCACCCTGGCCTTCCCTGGGAAGGAAACGTGGAGCTGGCTCCTGGGGCTTGCTCTGCGGGGGCCACCCAAAGTGGACCCTCTCAACTCAGTGTTCCCAGAGGACAGCGGGGAGGGCACGTCCTCCCAGAAGTGGAAATGGTCTGTCCATTCTGTGTGGAGGCAAGTGGCCCGAGGCCAGGAGCATGAGGAGCAGGTGACCCTGTCATGAGTGCCCAGGTGTGGCTCTCCCGTGACAAGACGGGCCACGGGGACAGAGCGCAGGGCAGAAGGGCACAGCACTCCCCTTGGACACCCCCACAGGACGCCTGTGGCTTCCCCGCGGATCAGTCCTGCGACATAGGACAACCACAATGTGATGTCCAGACACGGTGAGAACATCAGGTGTTCAGTGTCCCCACGTACCGCGCACAGCACAGGGCGTCTGGGGAGAAGTCACCAGGGCACCTCGGTGCATTTCGACTGGTCACAGCAGCCACAGTGTGAACTCTGGGAGATAGAGCCAAGGAAGAGCTGGGGTTCCCAGTGCTAGGTGCTCACGTCAGAAAAGATGTCTCGGGTCTGTTACCTAAAGCTTCCCCCTGAGAAGCCAGGGAAAGAGGAGGAGCCCACGGGCGTGGACATTAGCACACGGCGTACACCTACAAAGGAAAGGGAGAGAACACAGCCAAAGCGAGTCCAGCCAAGGGCCAGGTGGAATCGGAGTGGAAGTCAACAGAGAAGGGACAACAGGAAAATCACAGAGGAGACGCTGGCTTTGAAGGACCAACGAGATGGACACTCGAGCAAGCAGGGACTTCGCATCCCCAAGGCCCCGAGACCTGAGTGGCCAAGAGCACTGCCCGGGGAATGGCTCTCCCCTTTCTGTGCGCCTCTCCTGCACACCTAGAAGACCCAGAGGGTCCCACACGGCCACCAGGCCTGCTGCACGCAGCGAGGTCAGAAGACAAGGTCAACACAGAGACCACTGCACTTAAGTGGAGTCTTAAAACACCACTTAAAACAGCATCAAAAACCAGACACCTGGGGACGAGCCTGAGACAGGGAAGGGCTGGGCCGCGAGGGCCGGCAGCACTGACAGAGACTTAGACCCTTCCGGACTCAGGCTTGTGGACGGAGACTTGTGACAGTCTGGTGACTCTTCTGCCATCTTTACCCTGGTGCCTAGATCGGGGGCAGCTCCTGTCCAACACCAGTGAGCTGTTCTGAGAGACAAGATGACCCCACGTTTTCCACAGCGTGGGGAAGGACTGAGCATGGGAAAGTCTCCAGAGGCACCGTGCGCTGCAGCCTGTGCCCGTGGGTTCAGGACCCCTACCGCGGCCACACCACGCAGGACACAAGAACCCTGCCTCAAACGGAACAGAGGGCCAGACGCCCCCGACCGGCTTGGTCGCTGGGATTCCACCCAGTCCGCCACTCGGGGGCGGGGGAGAGCGGTCTGTCTGTTCAGCAGACATGGCTGGGACAAGCGGCAGAGCTCTGGGTGACCCCGCACCCCGCACCGGACACCTGGACGTGCACCAGAGCGCTTCCGAGGAGGAGAGAGGGAGGCGTTTCACAACCTCGCGGAGAAAGACTTCTCCACCTGGAGGAAACAGCCACCGGTGACCTTCCCCACGATGGAAGCCCCTCCCCAGGATGGAAGCCCCTCCCCGGGATGG